TTGCCAAAGCTGAACTTTCACTGCTAGCGGATTTTTTCCACATATCACTGCGGTGAGTGTCGAAGGCGCTATTTTTAGATTTGCCCCACCAGCCACCCTGCCTGACTGCCTGTTTTAGCTCATAAAATTCATACAAATTACCGAGCCAGAATATAATTTACATTGCTGGAATTCTTATAATTTGGTGATCATTTTGAATATAAACATCATATATTTTGCTTTAAACTTACAATTTTAGATAAAAATTTTCTCTAGGTAACTATGGTATCTTTTTGTGCAAAATATATGACATTTATATTCAAAATATTCCTAGTCTTACAAGGAATCCAGCAATGTCAATTATATTATCTAACTTTAGTTTGAGGTATTATTTATTATTAAAATTTAGTGGTTATCACATCTCCTTGGGACGGTTGGTGGGGGTGGGGGGAGGAGGACCGACCCGACCATCTGTTACCCTGTGAAGAATTATTATTTTTTTATTAACTGAAGATATTTGTTTTAGCTCATAAAATTCATACAAATTACCAGGTCAGAATATAATTTACATTGCTGGAATTCTTATAATTTGGTGATCATTTTGAATATAAACATCATAGATTTTGCTTTAAACTTACAATTTTTAGATAAAAATTTTTCTCTAGGTAACTATGGTATCTTTTGTGCAAAATATATTTTATATTCAAAATATTCCTGGTCTTACAAGGAATCCAGCAATGTCAAATATCTAACTTTAATCTGAGGTATTATTTAATACTAAATGTTAAAAACTCTGGAAGGGAGGATTGGTGGTGGGGGGAGGTTGGGACTGACAGGTTGGAAGAGGGAGGCAAGGTGGGGTACTTTGATTGACAGATAGTGTCGTGAAGATTATTATTTTTTATTAACTGAAGATATTTGTTTTAGCTCATAAAATTCATACAAATTACCGGTCAGAATATAATTTACATTGCTGGAATTCTTATAATTTGGTGATCATTTTGAATATAAACATCATATATTTTGCTTTAAACTTACAATTTTTAGATAAAAAATTTTTCTCTAGGTAACTATATTATCTTTTTGTGCAAAATATATGACATTTATATTCAAAATATTCCTGATCTTACAAGGAATCAGCAATATCAATTATATTTTCTAACTTTAGTTTGAGGTTATCCCACACATCTCCTTGGGGCCGGTTGGTGGGGGGTGGGGGAGGAGGGACCGACCGACCATCTGTTAACCCGGCTGTGTAGTGTGAGAGGGGAGGGAGTTGAGTCCATTATTTGAATGGACATTAACTGGCGACTGTATTTCTCTATTTCTCTTAAGTATTAATTGTGTGCATGTACCATCATAAAATTAAGATGTTATTTTTACTACAACATAGGTATGTGCCTTCAAAAAGTGGAGTTTGGGGGTCGGGCGGTTTCTATTGGAATTAATCCCATATGTTCTGTTGTTCATACTTGCAGTTCCTTAGCGGGACCCTCTGGGTTCAATTGACGCGTTAAGTGGGGTACAACTGTAGTTGAAGAGCAGAACCCTGTGGGACACCACTATTGGTAGAGAAAGAAGCGGTCGATCCTCGACAACAACTGCCATGGATCGGTTCTCAAGAAGCTAGAAATTAGAGAACAAAGTGGGAGAGAAACCATAAATGGGAAGTTTAGAAAGCAGAGACTTGTGTCATAACCTCAGTGGTTACTTCTTCTGTACATTAAATACAAATAATTAAAATATACATTTTTAAATTAATTTTACTACAGCAACAACCAGGGTCCTATAATTTTTCAGTTTCAGATGGATAACTGACATTATGAGTGTAAACACTGACAACAATGGTGTCAGTCTCTACTTGGATGACCATATTATTATTATTCATAAACATTATTTAAAAATATAGTTTGCATTTTTCATTAATTTTATTGTTTGGGGAAAAGAGGGTAAAAAGCCTCAAAAAGTAAGAAAAGGTCACACTTGGGCATCTCATTATTTTTGAGTCATTTTAATGGTAATTAAAGATTCATGATCCGATGATTCACCTTACACTGCAATATTGGAGGACACATTACCTTTGTCATTCGAGGCTTTACTGTAGTAGTATACAGTACATTGTTTTGTTTACTGTATAACAATATGGTATGTGTACAGTGGTATTTGCTTCCATAACTACAGCTCCTACGAGCTGCATCGTTTACCCTTTGAAAATACCACACTGTCTTTTGGTGTAACAGCTCTATTCCGCCCATAACCAAACTTTTAGATAAAGTATTCACCATTATTTTGTTAAAGAAAGGTGTCTTAACAAAATTAAATTGATTTATCCACTCGGGATCAACATTTCTTATGTTTTTTATAAAAAGTGGAATTTCTTATCTATATCATATAAAAATATTTTGTTTAAGTTTATCTTATTGGAAATGTCTCGTAGAGAATTTATTAAGGATCATTAAGGTATTGAATTCATCTCCTTATCACTATTAGCCATGTTTGAGTGAGGAGTGGGGGTGATGACCCCTTCATCCCCAAAGGTTTGCCTTCATCAATAATACTCTCAGCCCACATTACCCACACTGTACTGCACACCCTCACCCCGACATCACACACACATTCTCCAACAACCACCCACACATACCTCCAACACACCTATGATTAAGATGGATATGCCCTCAGCACTAAGCTGAAGTGAAATTTTTATCTCTTTTTAATAAGCTTCTCTTGCCATGTTTTATTGTTTGCTTAAAAATGCACCTTTTAGTACAGTTCAGTACTGTACATAGAAGTGGAGTGCAGTTATTCACATAACATTTGTGTTGTTGTCGGCAGTAGTAGCCCAATTGAAGATGTGGAGGCAGAGGAGGGAGGCGGAGGGCTGAGTTGGGAGGAGAGCCCAGGGGCCTTGAGGCAGGGGCCGAGTGGAGATGCCAGCCAGTGCATTACATATTATTACTAGTGTTTTTTATAGCTATTTTGCATTTAATATTAAATATTAGACATTATTTCTGAGAACATGGAAATGTAATATTTTTGCTGAAATGATGTCGTATTACAGTGGAAAGTGGGATAAAATTGTGGTGTAAGCAATGACTTTCTCTTTCTTTTGTTCAAAGATGTTACACGTAATCACTTTTAGAATGGTTTTCAGTTGGCAGGATTATAAGGCTAATGATAGGATAGAATATTATTGTAATATAATGCAATACAACAGTTTTTAACTGAAAACCATTAAAAAGTGATTACGGTAAAATATTTTGAATAACGAAAGAAAGTGAGTCATTTTTCGTCATGATTTGTCACTTTCACTGTAATATCCATTCCAGCAAAAATATTATATTTCCATATTTATTCTGAATACGATATTCATTCAGTCACAGTTAAGGTAAAATATACTTGTGATGTAATACTTTAATGAAAATACGTTATCGTAGTTTTCTTTTTGTTTCAAATTTAATTAACAAGATTGATGTTTCAAATGTAATGAACAAAAATTTATGTACAGTATCTATAAATAAACTTTAATAAATGAATATGTTTTACATCGCCTGTGCTACCATACCATGGATTTGGCTACTTTGGGCTTGCTATGATGCCTAAGAGATCTGCCACATAACCGTACCTATCAACTCAAAAGCGGTTGATGCGTTAGTCGTCGTTCCATTGTTTACTGGTAGCTACTGTAAATATTTTCAGCCCAATCGAAACTATTACCCGTTTAGGTCAACCCCCAATTTTGCCAAATAATTTGGTCTTAAAACTGAACTGCACACAGGTTTATACTGTAAATAAGGACATAGGGGCCAGGTTTTTTAGGGTGTGTGTGGGGGGCATAAGTACGCAGTTTTAACATTCACGGGTATCTCTGTTACTCAAACCCTGAGTATGTTAAGGCGACTGTACACTAAAACCCCTCCAAGGTTTCACCTTACAGCTTTCCATGTTTCGCGGTACCCCGCGAACATGAAATGCTCACTTACGCCGAGACGGCTGGCTGTCCTCGCCACGCCATTTAGATTCAAACCTCCCGCCATCTCTCCTGCCACGTTAAGTCAGCGGGCGAATAGGATACGGCTGATATGTGTAATAGAAAAAATTTTAAACAATCACTGAACACCCTAGTTTAAGGTAAGTCATGAATAATGTTTCTATGTTTCTCTGTACATATCATGTGTCTGAGGTGTCTCAGTAGGTGTGAGTGTATTAACGGAATTAATCTCGATTTAGCGAACTAGTTCACTAAATCGAGCGAATGCTGTACATATATGGGTGAAATACAAATCTTGTAGGCTAATTTCAAAATGCTGACAGACACAGTGATAAACAAATTATATAAACCATGCATTTACGTACGGTAACATAATAAGGACATTGTTTCATTACGAGAGTGAATGAAATAATATTCCCACAAACAACAATTGACAACTCTGTTTATGTTTCTCACCTCGGGCATGTGTCTTCCGCGCTGACATCGTAGTTACACGGGCCTAAGATGATCTTTGCTCTGCTTTGGGAATGCTTCTTAGGAAGGCTTCTTAGCCCCCGGAACCCCCAAATTTTGTCCGAATTCTCTGAAATCCGGATTTACCGGGTCCGAATCTTCAGGGGGTTCACTGTACATCTATTGAGTTCTTTCTGATTTAGAACACATATTCCATGGCATCATACACAAAGCTGCATTACTTGGGGTGATGTTGCCTAATATGGGCTGTTAAGATTACGATTTCTGTCTTTAAAGATATTTGTCACTGTTGCTCTAAAGTAAAAAAAAATATGACAAATTTGGGAAGTACTGTACTGTGATGTATAATTTAACCCATTTACTGTATGTGAAAGAATCATTAACATATATGTCTATGTTCTCCAGGTTGTTTCACTAGTTAAAAGAGGATAAAATCATAGCCTGATCTAGTAAAAAAATTACCTTTATTAATAACTGAGTGATTAAGTAATGGCTACAGGTTCCACTGCTAAAAAGATATTCATATTCATCGTATTATGATTTGTTTATTATTTTACAGTTACCGGTGAATATTATGGAACGTGTTATCCCAGCCCCTTCTCAGAAGCCTGGTGTATTCCTTAGTGATCGAGCGGCCACCAGCCACCAAGCGCTTATTCGTTCAGACCAACTGAGTCGTGTCTCAGCCTCTGAACCTTGGAGAGCACAACTATTGCTGCACCATCAGATGGATCTAAATACAGTGGATCAGAAGACGTCAGATTGCCGATACAAAACTGTTTATGATTTTGAAATAGATGCCTTGACAATTGTACATAATGTTGTTATCTATCAAGGAGGTAAGAAATGTAATGGTTATAATTTTTATATTAATGCTACATTATTGAGTGTACTTTTAAGATACTTGTCTCCACTTTACCTTTATTTGGCACTTTATTGGATTTTCAGGTATGGGACCATTTATCCGGCATGCTTGGGACCTTGGGGTTACTGGGTAAGGGATTTTTCTGGAATTTGGAGCGCCAGTCCTAAAATGTACTGAATGTACAGTAAACCCTCTGTAAATATTTTATGGTGATACAGTACTACGTACCATGTTCCTTCTCCTGTGAAGTCATGTCACCTGCCTGCGAAGCCTCTCTTCAGATCACTAGATTCACCCCTAAAAGTAGCTTTAATTATACACAGCAACACTTGAAATTGTAGGCATATAAACAGCAATAACGAAAGCATATACATAGCAATAATCAAAGCATAAAAAGAGCAAAAATGATAACAAGTCAGTTTACGTACTGCATCACAGTCTCAGGGATGCTGGCCGCCTCAACGCTCCTTAGCAATACAGCTCCTCCCCGACTTACAACGGGGTTAGAGACCCAAATCCAGGTCGTAAATCGAATTGGTCGTAAGTCAAATTGGCCGAAAGTCGAAAATGCAAAAAATAATACAGTGGTCCCTTGATTAACAAACACAATTGGTTCCAACTCACAGAAAAAGTACATACAAAGTAAAGCCAAAAAAGGCATAAAGTCAGAAACACTTAAAAATCCCTGAAATCATCCTTATATCACTATATATATACAGTGAACCCTCACTTTACGCGGTCAATTGAACCCACGGAGGCCCGCGTAAAGCGAGAAACGCGTAAAGTGAACAACATAACATATGGAATTAAATGAAATAGAGACCGGCTGACCCCCAAACTCCACTTTTTCCGACACAATACCTATGTTCTAGTAAAAATAACATATTAATTTTATGATGGTACATGCACACAATTAATACTTAAGAGAAATAGAGAAATACAGTTGCCAAGTTAATGTCCATTCAAATAATGGACTCAACTCCCTCCCCCTCTTCTCACACTACACTCGCTGGCTCTTCCCTCTCTGAGAAATTTTTGGGGGAAAACCACTAGATTTTAAGGTACAGTATTACCCCGCTTTACACGATTTCACTTTCCGCGATTTCTCATTTACGCGGTACCTTGCCAGAACCGGACTTTCACTTTCCGCGGTGCATCTACTCATATACGCGTGAAGTATAATTTTTTTTTTTTTAGCTCATAAAATTCATACAAATTACCCTGCCAGAATATAATTTACATTGCTGGAATTCTTACAATATGATGATCATTTTGAATATAAACATCATGGATTTTGCATTAGACATACAAATTTTAGATCTAATGTAATAATTTGGTTTACACAAAGCAAGTATTTTATCTTTTGTGCAAAATATATGAAGTTTACATTCAAAATATTCCCTGACCTGCAAGGAATCCAGAAATGTCAATTATATTATCCTAACTTTAGTCTGAGATATTATTTATTACTAAAAATGTAAATTACTATTTTCTCCCAAAGCTTCTCAGGTAGGGATGGAAGGTGTGAGGTGGGGGGTGGGGGGGAGGGAGGGAGGAACTGACCCAGCTAGGGCCGAGTATTTTGATTGACAGATGGTGTCCTTGAAGAATATTTCTTTGTTTATTTAATGAAGATATATGTTTTAGCTCATAAAATTCATACAAAATACCCGGCCAGAATATAATTTACATTGCTGGAATTCTTACAATATGATGATCATTTTGAATATAAACATCATGGATTTTGCATTAGACATACAAATTTTTGATCTAATGTAATAATTTGGTTTACACATAGCAAGTATTTTATCTTTTGTGCAAAATATATGAAGTTTACATTCAAAATATTCCCTGACCTGCAAGGAATCCAGAAATGTCAATTATATTATCCTAACTTTAGTCTGAGGTATTATTTATGACTAAACGTTAAAGTCTAGTGTTTCACCCAATCATTTCTCAGAGAGGTAGGGGCCAGTGAGCTGGGAAGAGGGAGGGGGGATTTGAGTCCATCATTTGAATGGACATTAACCTGGCGACTGTATTTCTCTTAAATATTAATTGTGTGAGCATACCATCATAAAATTTACATAATATTTTTACTACAACATAGGTATTTTGTTGGAAAAAGTGGAGTTTGGGGGTCGGGCCAGTCTCTATTGGAATTAATCCCATATGTTTTGTTGTTCACTTTACGCAGTACCCTGTTGGTTCAATTGACCGTGTAAATCGGGGTACTACTGTATAGTTATAAATAATACCTCAAACTAAAGTTAGGATAATATAATTGACATTGCTGTATTCCTTGTAAGACCAGGAATATTTTGAATATAAATGTCATATATTTTGCACAAAAGATAACATATTTACTCAGAGTAAACAAAATACTTACAGTAGATCTAAAATTTGTATGTCTAATGCAAAATCTATGATGTTTACATTCAAAATGACCATCAAATTGTAAGAATTCCAGCAATGTAAATTATATTCTGGTCCAGTAATTTGTATGAATTTTATGAGCTAAAACAAATATCTTCAGTTAATAAAAAAAAAAATATTCTTCACGACACTATCTGTCAATCAAAGTACCCCAACTTGCCTCCCCCCCTCTTCCAACCATGCCAGATGGTCGGTCGGTCCCAACCCTCCCCCCCACCCCCCACCTTCCCTCCCTACCAGAGAAATGTTGGGTGAAAAAACTAGATTTTAACCTTTAGTAATAAATAATACCTCAGACTAAAGTTAGGATAATATAATTGACATTGCTGGATTCCTTGTGAGACCAGGAATATTTTGAATATAAATGTCATATATTTTGCACAAAAGATAACATATTTACTCAGAGTAAACATTAGATCTAAAATTTGTATGTCTAATGCAAAATCTATAATGTTTATATTCAAAATGATCATCAAATTGTAAGAATTCTAGCAATGTAAATTATATTCTGGCTGGGTAATTTGTATGAATTTTATGAGCTAAAACAAATATCTAAAGTTAATAAAAAAAAAATATTCTTCACGACACTATCTGTCAATCAAAGTACCCCACCTTGCCTCCCCCCCTCTTCCAACCGCGCCAGATGGTCGGTCGGTCCCTCCCTCCCCCCCACCCCCAACCAACCCTCCCTACCAGAGAAGTGTGTGGGAGAAACCAGAATATTTACCTTTTTAGTAATAAATAATACCTCAGATTAAAGTTAGGATAATATAATTGACATTGCTGGATTCCTTGTAAGACCAGGAATATTTTGAATATAAATGTCATATATTTTGCACAAAAGATAACATAGTTACTCTGAGAAAAATTTTTATCTAAAATTTGTATGTCTAATGCAAAATCTATGATGTTTATATTCAAAATGATCACCAAATTGTAAGAATACCAGCAATGTAAATTATATTCTGGCCGGATAATTTGTATGAATTTTATGAGCTAAATACAAAAATTATACTTCACCCGCGTATATGAGTAGATGCACCGCGTAAAGTGGGAATTCCAGTTCTGGCAGGGTACCGTGTAAATGTAGAAACGCGTAAAGTGAAACCGCGTAAAGCGAGGGTTCACTGTGTATATTGTACGTACATATACACTAGAACTCTTAAATCACTACAAGTGATTAATTTTTATCTCTTGTGCAAAATATATGACGTTTATATTCAAATTATTCACTGTTATGCAAGGATTCCAGCAATGTAAATTATATTCTCCTAACTTTAGTCTGTCATATTATATAAGATAAAAACTTAAATCCTAAAACCCTGGCTGGGCAGATGGGGTAGAGGGAGGGGGAGGCGAGGTGATATGTTTGACAATTGGAGCCGAAGGTCTGTGTGTTTATTTATCAGTCCTTAAGAGTGACTTAAGCTTTTCTCTTATAATTTGCCACCGAAACGACCGGGGAGAATATAATTTATATTGCTGGGATTCTTGTAAGATAGTGAATAATTTGAATATAAACAAGCTATAATTTGCACTAGACAAAAATTTTAGTACCCTAATCATTTAGTAAAGGTACAGAGCAAGTTTGCATTTAGGTCATTTATTTCTTTTACGTTTCTTTTAGTATGGTGTGTGCATGTAAATGAATAAAAATAAATGAAGAAATTTATGTAAATATACCCAAAAATACAGTTGAAAATTTTGTTACATTATTAAATATACTAATTTACTAAAGTTTTTATCTCTTGTGCAAAATATATGACGTTTATATTCAAATTATTCACTGTCTTGCAAGGATTCCAGCAATGCAAATTATATTTTCCTAACTTTAGTCTGTGATATTATATAAGATAAAAACTTAAAGCCTACTGTATAACCACCAAACCTTTGCTTGGGGGTGGGGGGGGGCAGTGATATGTTTGACAGTTAGCACCGAAGGTCTTGTGAAGTTTTTATTTGTTTATGTCCTTTAGGTTGAGTTTTTGTTTTTTGCTTGTAAAATGTCATAGAAGTTACCAGGGAAAATATAATTTACATTGTTGGAATTCTTATAAGATAGTGATTAATTTGAATATAAACGTCATATATTTTGTACAAGAGATAAAAATTTTCGTACATAGTAAATTTTAATAATGTAAAAGATTTTCAACTATCTTTGGGTAGATTTTCATAAATTTCTGGGTGTCTTTTTCTCAGCACCGAGAACTCTCACTTTTACGCTTGCCAGCCATTTTAAAGGGAATTACAAACAAAAATTTTGTCTGTGTACTGACGCTGGGACTCGAAAATATGTAATTTGTCAAAATTTTGGTACCACTGAGGCAGGTCGTAAGTGCGGGTGGTCGTAAATCGAGTAGGTCGTAATTCAGGGAGGAGCTGTACAGCCCAGCTGGGATGCTGCCTCGCTGCCTATCCATAGCATTGGTACTCCACACCATGCATCCTCTAACCTGTCCACACACTCACCACGCTATGCGTAAAACTTAATACCTTATGATAATTTTAGTTATTTATTTTTTTGTACTGTACTGTACTGTACTGTACTGTGTACTGTGTGCTAGGAACTGGTTAAAAAAAAATTACAGGAATACCCCAGTTATCAAAAGGGAATGTGTTCCTAAATGTCATTGTGACTAATGAAATTGCAAACATTGGGTCAATTTTCCCCATAAGAATAAATTATTATTATGAATAAGGGGGGGGGGGGATTCATTCTTGGCCGACAATTTTCACAACTTATTTTTTTATATATATACTGTACTGTACTCCTCATTATCTGATGCTATTAGGGACTAAGGTCGTGTGTATACTGAAGTAGTACCAGTAAATGTGAGGAATAAATGCAAATTATACTACAGTATAGTCTCGGTTTACGCGGTCAATTATACCCGTGGAGGTCCGCTTAAATCGAGAAACGCGTAAACGAAATAACAACATATGGGATTAATTGAAATAGAGACTGGGCCGACCCCCAGACTACCCTTTTTCCGACACAATACGTACGTTGTAGTAAAAATAACATCTTAATTTTATGATGGTATGCACATACAATTAATATTTAAGAGAAATATCAATAATATTAGGTTTTTTAACACTTATGTAAGTAGAAGAGATGGCTGGGCACACGGGGATGGAGGGTTGGTTCCGAGGCACAGGGCAGATTATTGGCCCTCACCTGTATCACTATCCACCACAGAGGCTTGCAGGGCCTCTTTGTCAAACCCCTCAAAGTCCATATCCTCACTATCACTTATCACTGACTTGGGCTGGCTGTGGTGGGTGGCGGGTGAAGAACTCGGTAATGTTTTGTTGACTGGGCAACCTAGTGCGCACCCTGCCCGCGTCGCTTCCCGCATAAATGATGGAATGTACCGCGTAACTAATAATTGCCGGTCTGGCCAGGTGCCACGTAAATCCGCGTTAATCGAGACTATACTGTACTTTGATGGATAAAATAAAACAAAAAATACCACATTGTCAGTTGGCAATACAGTGACCCCTCGTTTAACGAACGCCTCGGTTAACGAAATTTTGGTTAACGAACTGCCTTCCATAAGGATCTTCAATTCGGTTACCGAACAAAAATTCGGTTAACGAATTTCTTACGAACCGACCTCAACATGTTTTCGCTTGCACTGGCCGGGCAACCAGCTTTAGTATCAGTCCGCCAATACATTAATCGGTTCTAGGGCTTAAATTCCTAACTATTTTAGTAAATATCAAGAAGCTTATACTATTCAATAATTTTAGAAGTTTAATTTTCAATTTTTTAGTCATTTTAACAATTATTGAACATAATTGAAGGTAAAGTGACTAGTTTAAAGCGCAGCATCCAGCCTCTTAACACAGCAAACAGGCGTTAGTCTCTCTGTTTTCACTGGAGGTAACATCTTGCTTGAGACTCTCTTCAACTAAACGCTTTTTTCTGTGTTTCCAAGCAAATTATTGGTCATTTTGAAATATATTTTACATATTGACAATATATAATGCAGTACAGTGTTGATTTAAAGAAAATAATCTTGAAATACACCAAGAGAACTAAAATTTTATGGGTGAAATGGTGCCATGGGGTGACTTCTCTTCCACCCCAATGCCTTCTCTTCTTCCTTCTCCTCCACCCCCATTGTAATTCCCATCATCATCATCATCATCCAGGAGCCTTCTACATACACACCTCAAAGTAAGTGAACTTTTCTACCATTTTTGTTGAATTTAGGCAATTTTCGGTGAGCTGGAACCAATTACCCAAAAACCCATTGAAACAATGGTTTCGGTTAACGAACTTTTCGGTTAACGAACGACCTTCTGGAACGGATTGAGTTCGTTAACCGAGGGGTCACTGTAGTTTCACTATGCGTGGTAGACTGGAGTGGCTGAGATCTCCAACACTACTCCCTCCTCCCACGATCCGGGGGATAACTACCACGCGAGTAAGAAATGTTATTATCTTTATATTCTTGACCTTATGATAATTATTTTTTGCTTTTTTGCACAGTCTGTTTGAACAGTCGTGTGTGCATGTAACAGAGTAAACGAAAATGAATAAGGATACATATATCTGCTCGAAATTACGAATTAAAAATAACAAAATAGGAGCTCGCCTCCACCACCACCGCGCTCACGCAACACCACACTCCTGTCACCAACACTCCCCATCACCACCACTCCCCACCACCAACACTCTCTCCTCCTCCTCCCCCTCCCCTGCTCTTGCGGAAGTAAGAAACGTTTATTATCTTAAATGTTTTTGACCTTATGATAATTGTTTCTTTTATTATTTTTTTTTGCACATTTTGTATGAACAGTTTTGTAACAGAGTATAAGAAAATTAATATAAATTGGTATACAGTATTCACTCAAAAATATTAATTGAAAAATAACAATAACACAGCTTCACCTGGAAGGAGAAGAGGTCAGGTGACATAGCTATGGTGATATCCAACTTGGTGACCTGCCAAGTCCACACACATGCTCATTAAATTGGGCCTTACTGAGGCCTACTTTACATGCGAGTTTTTGTTCCATGCGGGAGAAGGAATGTGTTCACGCTGGCATGTTTTTAATGCTTCAGTTCACTTGCATCTGACAAAAATAATCACAGACACTTCCAGCCCCTACCATAGATGCACCACAACTGACATACGGGAAAAACACGTTCGTCATATGATGAATTCTAGAATGTTCAGCGTATTTTTTCACACCGCAGTTTGAAAATACAGGTAAAGGTCTGGGGTGAGTGCCTCCTGAGCATGAATTTGCACGCACGTTCTTCATCCCATTGAACTTCATTAATTTCTAAACTGTGTGGGTCCATATGTGCAGAAAAACTCTTTTGTTTGAAGTGGGCCTTATGTTGGAATATGAGAGCTGCAACTAGACCGGCCGGTTTGAAATATTACTGTAGCGTATAGTAATTTTTCATTTGTGAATAAGCAGGTTATGCTTTGCGAATATTGAATAGGGATGTTAAGATATCAATTGCGGATAAGTGGGGTTGTGAATAGCGGGGTATTCCTGTAGATATATGTACACTCGCAACAAAAAGTATCGGTGCATACTGTAGTGTGAACAATTTGAGATCAGTGACGATAGGTATTGGGAAAGGTGAGTTGTTCCAGCCGTATGTTGGCAGCCCTGATTGTCAGCCATATGGCAACACCTAGTGGAGGGGGGGGGGGTTTATGAGGATACACTTACCAACCACCTTCCCGACATAGCACAGTGTATACGTATTATTTCGGAACTCGTCGATCTCACCCTGCACCAATACTTTTTGGTGCAAGTGTACCTGAGATTATGAGTTGAAAAATAACCATTTCATAACACATTGCACGTAGGTAGAGAACAGTTGGATATTTTCCCGCTGGGTATGGGAATTACTTGGCTCTCATTTTAAACACTTTGTTCCAGAACATAGCCAGTTTTGGGAACATTCCAGATACCGGAACACCAGATAAACAGCCCCATACCTGTATTTCAAAGGATATACTTTTGACTGAGTGCTTGTACCAGTTCAATAGGTCCTATTTCATTGACTATGTTGGGCCTGGTTAAAGATTGTAAGAAATAATTCTTCTTCAGCATGACTAACACCCTAACAATATTCAAAACTTTTAGGGATAGGTCTTCATTTACTACAGCAGTTCTGTATAAGCTGAAATAGGATATTATTTAATTAGGATTTTGCATTATGTATAGCCTGACCATGGATAATAAAGTTTTGGATTATATTGTTCTATTGTGGACAGTCATGACTCAGTCAAGTTTGTTCACCTTATCATGATTGGCCATGTGCTGACATATGGTAACCATCACTGTGGCTGTGGTAATTTGAAAAAGAAACTTATTTTTACTGTGTGTTTGACTGAATTTTTTCTAGTCATCCATATGTGTAGTTGTGTTTACAGCAGTTAGTGGGTTAACATTGCTAAAGTAACTGTACAGAATTACAGACTTACATAGATATGCTTTTTGGTATCTACTTGTGGAAATTTTAGGGGAAATTAATATTGTTGATATCTTATTGTAAATGAATCGGTGTAAAGAATCAACCTTAACAGGTTCCCGAGATCATTTGAGAAACACCCACCAGTTGCTAGAATATGTTCCTTCTTGGTAAACACTCATTTTATGTCTTCTATTAATCTTACTCACCATAATCTCAAAGATGATATTACAATGCACATTGTATTTAAATTAACCACAATAAAAAATTGGGTTGGAAATAAAAATAAATCCAGGAAAAGACAGTGTAGACATACATGTGTGAAAAGGCATTATAAAATTTATATCCTCTAATGTTATTGCTCTCACTTTAATCATAAAATGGTGGCTATCATTGCTAAAGGTTAGCTGTGGGGATGGCGGCTAACATCAGTGAAGGTTTCATGTTCCTTGCATTCCATTTTTGTGCATATGGGAGTGGAGTGTGGAATCCTTAGCCACCATTTTAGGGTTAAACAAATTATAATTACAGTACAAAATTAAAATAGCCAAGGAATTTTGTATTCATTGGCTATCAAGAACCGTGTGTGTGGATCAGGCTGTGTATCTGGCCAGCACCCAATTTCGTTGTGGGAGCGGCTTATTGGATGCTATGGGATATATATATATATATTGATTGATATGTATTTATATTCCAGCCTCCTCTTGTTGTAGTAGTCTACTTAACATAGGCCCAAAAAACTGAGGTCACACTAATATCAAGAAAATAGGGACATTGAGAATAATTACATAGGACAAAAGGATTAATGAAATACACTAAGATTGTGCATTTCTTGGGAGATTGTAATAATATTGTGGATATAGGATAAGAAGGAGAATTATATGGTTTTATTTTTTATGATAACATAATATAATGTGCAGTCCCTCTCAGCTCATTTCATTATTAAGGTGACTTTATGGTGTTTGATGATGTGCATGAGTTCTTTCTCAGTTCACAGCAGTATAGCAGATATGGCAAGACAAATGCTGCGGGACTGCCAGTATGACTTGATGGAGTTGGAACAGTGCAAAGATTGCTACCGTATGTCTAATGAAAAGTCCGACAAATATTGGTTTTGTAAACCATGTCGACCTCCACATCAGCTAGTTTATGCCAAACAAAAAGGATTCCCATATTGGCCAGCAAAGGTGGGTAGTTCCTTTATTTAATATACTATTGTAAAATACATTTAACCCTTGTTAGACTTACTTACTCATAGTTTGTTAATTCATGACTGGAACCATTATATACAGGGTGTCTCAAAAACTTAAACAGAGTGCTTTATAAACTGCTTTACAGATTTTTGTAGTAATTACTCGTACTTGTGTGCTGCATTACAATAGCATTATTGTCTGCATTTCTTTGTGTGACCCATATCAATAAATGAGTACAATACTGCAGTTGTAGTACAAGCATTCATGTGATTACTTTGCAAGTACGTAAGGTAGTGTGAATACAGTACTTTTTATTTGAGACACCTCATAGAGTTTGAGAATAAGAATATAGTACTCTGTGAGGCACAAGTAAATATTAATTAAACATGTCTTTTTTAAAAGAGCACTTAATTTTTCAGGTAATAAGAGTAGAAAATGAACTTTATGATGTAAGATTCTTTGGGAGTCAACATCAGAGAGCTGTCATAGAGAAGTCACATGTTCGTCCTATATCTGTCAACATACACACACTTCAGGTCAGTTAGAGTTTGGATTATTTGTGTTTTTCTTCATGTGAAAAAGGTATTAATACTGTTGACCAATAGAATAATTGAAAGAGAATGTATGAAGAAAGCAATTGACAAAATTAAGTATGAAAGGGCTGCTTGTAGTTCTAGAATAGTTACAGAATTATTAAAAGTATCTGATGCTGTTGGCATGTTGATGATGAATAAATTGATAAGTGCAATTATGAAGTACTGTATTGTTCTGGGTGAAAGTACTTGAACTTGGGAACTACAGGGGCCTGAGGCTCTTAGAGCAGGTTAAAGTTGAAGAAAGATAGATGGAGAAAGTGAACATTAATGAAACACAGCCTGTGTTCATACCAGGTAATGGGACTATAGAGGTAATATTTATGGCCAGGTAATCTATGAGAAATATATCTAAGGAAGGAGAGAAAGCTGTATTTTGTGTTTTTAGACTTAGAGAAAATATTTGTCTGTGCCAATTGAAGGTAGTTCAGTGGGCATTGGGAAAGTTAGGAGTTCAGGATTGTCTTGCTACTGTGGTTACGACTTTGTATGAGAGTTCAAAAACTGGTGTGAGAATAAATGGAGGAAAGTGAAGCATTTGAGGTGAAAGTGGGGGTCCATCAAGGGTCTGGCATAAGCTCCCTTCTGTATATCATGTTGCTAAAGATATAATTGCAGTACATTATATCATGACTGGTCTGCCCTAGAAGTTGTTGTCAGCTGATGTCTCAGTGCTGATAGGAGATAGGATTGAAGAGCTAATGGATAAATATAAGAAGTGGAAGGATGGAATGGAGTTAAAGAATATGAAAATGAATGTGATGTGGGTAAAGGAACCATGATGGAAAGTGCTGCCTGTAAAAAAAGTGAACTATAAAATTTTTTGGCGAATTTGACACAAGTCAGTTTGCAAGTGAAATCAACATGAATTAAGGTGTTTTTCAATGAACTGATTTGCTGAATTAGAGATGTTCTGCTGTATCATACTGTACTATAGTTTCTATACCTGGCACTAGAAAATATTCACTAAGTATCTGAAGTTGTTTGAATGATAGATATCTAAGTGTGATTTGAAGGAACTGTATATCTCAGGTAAAAAGAACTTCAGCATGGAACAAGGCATGTGAAGAGCTAAAGAAGCATCAGGAATATCTTTCAATGACGAACAATCATGAGTCCGACCACCGGAATATACGAACAGATTCTGAGGCTCGACATAAAGGTGATACACTCTCACCTGACCAAGAATCCCGACATGCTCACAGGTAAGAATATTTGTTATCTGCAGGTACAGTGTTTAGGCAAATAAATTAGTGAAAGAATAATACTGTAAATCTAGTTAGAAAAGATTATTCTGTGTATAACCAGTTATTGTTGTCAGCTTCAGACATTAGCCCAGCTTTACTCTCATACTCAGGATGATGTTACTTCATCTATTCAATATTCAACAAAGAAATCTGAAATCTTAAAAATTTTTGTGCCTCTGAACCACATTATAGTACTGTACGATCACTGAGGTGAGATATTATGACAATTTTAATTACAACAGAAGAAATTATTGAACTACTGATATCCCTTAGTATAAATGATTGAATTACTGACATCCTTTAGTAGAAATTATTGAACTACTGACAGCCATTCAAAAGTTCAAGTTATAATCTTTGACCTAAAATGATGTACAGTATTAAGATATAAAATAATGAATGTCTGAAAATTATTAATATTCCAGAGGACTTGATAATCCCTGACACTTAACCTAATGTAACTTAACTTTCACCTTGCCTCTCTGTACCCAGCTAAACATCACTTTTCTAAACCTACTTTAACCTCTCCAAACTAAATCTGGCCTAAATGAACATAACCCTACATAATTTAAACCAACCTAACCTACCTGTACTGAACCTTACCTTACCTTACCTTACCTTACCTTACCTTACCTTACCTTACCTTACCTTACCTTACCTTACCTTACCTTACCAACTGTAAACTGTCATAGCTCTACCTAATTCAAGCCAACCTAACCTACCTGTACTGAACTCAAACCTAACCTAACCTTATTTACAACTGACTGTACCCACCTACCCTAACCCACCCATATCTAACCTAACTTAATATACAGTACTGTACAGTCACGGACGAAAGTTCTCGCTATAGTCAAGGTGGATGGTGCAAAGTCTGGCCATCCTTACTGGAGGACAGGTCTGCTGTCCAGCCATCACCTCCCTCCCTCCCTCCCTCCCTCCCTCCCTACACACAAACACACACAAATAAGCACCCTCGCAGTTCAACAATTGAGCTCTGATACTTTCATTTCTCAATAAGGACTAGGGAAGGATGTGATTGTTTTGTTAATAAATTCACAAAACAATTTACTCAATTAAGTTTTACATTATTTGATATAATAATTTACATCATTATTAGATAATTATGACATAATGCAGAGTGAGTTTTGGTGGCTATGGCTTACAACGATATCAGAATCCTCAAAGCTGTATTGTCCCTCAGAATGGGAGCCAGAAAACTAAGCATGAATGTGAGGAATAATATGGTTCACAATAGAATGCTTTGTCACCCTCTGTGATAATGGTCTTATCATAGGGTCTACTGCATGTAACCTTGGCTTGATCCTTACAATGGATGACATGATGGGAGTATGACTGACTTCTGAGCAACACAATTAATATAAAAGTGTGTCACAACAGGAAGTAAGTCACAACACCGATTGATTTGCGTTGAATGGAAAAATAAGTTAAAGGTAACATGACCATATTTTATTATTAGTTATATTCGTATAGGTAACCATAAATGTTGCCTTCTTAATGTTATATACACTTAATATCCTCGTAGGTAAATTTACAGTTAAAAAATAAAACAGTAATTCAATCAATTTGGGTATTTTAAAACATACAAGGATGAAAAAATATATGCTTGTATTATTATAAATACCAAAATTCCAAGTGTATCAAGTGCCATAAATATTTATAAGCAAGGTAATTGGGCATAAACGACCCAGTTACACTGTTCATGAACTTAGCCAGCCAAGATGTTAACACCACCTTTCCACACCCTTGACAGACAGGAATAGAATTATAGTGGTGGTGATACACAACCCTCACAAATAGTTGTGTTAGAAGCTCTTTATCTCAATTTTTTTCTCCTGGGGGACCTCAACCATGCAAGCAAGCAAGCACGGTAAAACGATCGTCTACTGTACTTGTGTTTTTGGCTTTTGTTTGTGCAGTCTTTATTGTTGAGTAATTTGTTTGTTTTTCCTTCCCATATAGAGTTCAGACACAGCTGCTACAGACGTCTCCGAAGAAAGAGATTAAGGAGGAGGAGGTAAGATATCCAGACATTATTCAATAGATTCTTGATGTACAGGTATCCCTTGCTAAACAAATATTCAAGATACGCAATTTCACTTATACGAATTTCCAGAATTATCACCACTTTTCTATGTTACTAAAGCTTTCCCCGCTTGTACGAATTTTGGTCCCAGCAAAAATTCTAATTGTGTGCCTGCGGGAGTCAGCCGGGGCAGCCACATCCCCCTAGCACTCTCCATTCTAGGCTGGGGTAGGAGATAAAATTATGGTTATTTTTCAATTCGTAAATTTGGGAAGATAAACATAACTGTCTTCTTATTTTTTTGTTTTTTCATTTACATGCACACACAATTCTACAGATAGATTGTTAAAAAAATAATAATTATCACAAGGTCAAAAACATAAGAGAATAAACATTTCTTCATGCACCAGCGAGATTTAGCAGGATGATGTGGGGGGAGTTACCATATTTTATGGCATGTAAGACGCATGGCCATATAAGACGAACCTCCCATTTTAGCAGGGAGTATTTAGGAAAAAAAAAATTGTGTATTTTTCTCTTGTAGCCATAGTTTTCGTAAAACAATCTACAGTATACAGTACCAAAAACTGTGATAACTCAGCATTCGATAACATGGAATTTCATGTAATTCGGCACATATATGGTCTCGGAGTTTATTTATAAGTGGGGTATGCTATAATGAACGGATCCTACTACGAATATTCCTATAACGAACGGTTTTACCTATAAAATTGAGAATGCTATAACGAACGCAACTCCTACAACGAACGCGGATGAATACGGGACTATTTCGTCTGGTGCATGAATATTGTTGTACCGCGGCTCACAACAAGAGCGTGAGGCGCCATCTTAGTCTCATTGTGTAGCCAGTGCACCACTGTTATTGTTGAAATTTCGTCTTTTGATGTGGAAATTCGCGTTATTTGTATAACTATTTTGTTATACAAGTATACAATTGTAACAATGAATCGTCCAAAGCGAGTGAGAAAGCTAATAACCCTTGAAACTAAGAAAGAAATTATAAAGAAACTTGAGAATGGAAGAAGCATTGCAAAACTTAGTGATGAATATGGGATGGCTAAATCGACTATATGTACGATTTTGAAGAATAAAGAGGAGTTAAAAACTGTGCAAGTGGCTAAGGGAATCTTTAGACTTAGCAAAGCAAGGTTTAATGTGATTGAAGAGATGGAAAATTTACTCTTAGTGTGGATAAAGGAGAAAGAAATGGCAGGTGATAGCATTAGTGAAGCTATAATTTGTGAGAAGGCCAGACAATTGTGTGAGGACCTTAAAGCCAAGACTCCCAGTGCAAGTGATAGTGCTGTGCCAGTGTTTAGGGTACCTGCATGCTGAATAACACTAAGGTAAGATATAGTACCGTATTTTTTACATTTTCCACAGAAAATTTTCAGTGTTAAGTGGTTGTATTTGGGGGCCTGGGACGGATTAATCCTATAACGAACGAATGCTATAACGAACGAGGTTCTAGAACCAATTAGATTCGTTATAGCATACCCCACTGTATTTATTTAGTTATATTATTTTGTAATTTTTTCAAGATTAGCCTACCAGGGCACAGGTCAATGACCCACTTCAGGGGGCCAAAAATATAATAATACAGTACAGGTGCTTCTCTATTTAAGAACGTTTAACTTACAAACTTTCAGGGATACAAACATCATCACTGGGGAGGTTGCCTGCCAGAACAGGTGTTTAATGTGGATGAGACTGGATTATTTTGAAGAAAATTCCAGATAGAACAAACTTTATCTAAGAGGAGAAGAGTGAGTCAGGTTTTAAGGCTGTATTAAAGGGTATAGTTGTACAGTACTAAATATCCATAATCTTTTCATTTTTTACAATATGTTTGGTATCTACAAGAGTAAAGTTGGACGTACAAACAATCCTCAGGAACGTAACTCGTTCGTAAGTAGAGGAGCACCTGTACAGTGATATCCCTGTTAGCCGGAACAATTGGTGCAGAGCACTTCTGGGGATGAGAGATTTCCAGATAACAAGACGACTTTCTTAAACCCGGAAAATTTTGTATCCCCGGAACCTTTTCCGGTTACTGGGAAAAGTTTCCAAGTGTCTAAACTAGACCTATTGCACAGACGCACACTAGCCCACTTCCCAAAACGTTTCTGGGTGCTGGAGATGTTTTCCTCGAGTCTAAACTACTGGAATCCGTAAATACAGTTCTAATTAAGTTAGAGACTTAATTTCTTTACTATAATAATCTAGATTAGTTTATCTAAAAGTGTGGTGAAATAAATATATTTAGAAATTAAAAATCTAAAGGATATGGGCATGAATGAAGCTGTGTGTTACAGCAAAGACTGTTAATTTTCACTCCCCTGAAGCTGTAGGGGATTAGTGGGTCTTGTGTAATTGATCTGACCTGATGCAATGTCAGGTGGAGGTAGGATGGGGAATTAGTGGTCTCATATTACTGACTTTCTGATGGAATATCAGGTTACCCTTTCTTGGGTGGAGGATTAGTGGGTCTCATGACCTGAAGATGTCTTGAATGAACACAAAACCAAAAATATTTTGAGAGAGATTGTGGTAAGTACAGATATAAGTACAAACGAGCAAAGTTGCATCCCTTCAACATTACATCACATAACATTTTAAAATATGGAGTGAAAAAGCAGAAAGGTGTGGGTAATTAGAGAGATGGAGTGGAAATAAATGTTGTCAAGCGCTCCTCAAGAGCTGATATTTAACTCACTGTCATGCAGTCACATACATGCAGATTTGTCTTAATTCCCTTAATGGGGGAGTGTGAGTGTGGTTGGGGTGTGTGTGTGTGTGGTTGTTGGAGGGTGTGTTTATGTGTGATGTAGGGGTGTATGTGTGATGTGTAGGTGGTGTTAGAGTGTTGAAGGAAGGGAACCTTTTTGGGAGGTAGAGTCACGTAGTCAGTCACCCCCCCTTCCCTTCCTCGCTCAAGCGTAGCTAATTGTGATAGGGAGATGAATTTGATGCCATAATGATGCTTAATATATTCTGTACCAAACTTTTCCAATAAGATATAAGTAAACAAAATATTTCTATGTGATATAGTGATGGGAATTCCTTACTTTTATAATAAAACGTAAGAAATGTTGATACCAGAGTTAGTAAAATGAGTTCTAATTTCGTTAGATACCATTTTTTTATCAAAATAATTCTGTATACTTTATCTAAAAGTTTGGTTAAATAAATATATTTAAAAAAAAAAGTTCTATATGATACGGGTTTGGAGAGAGCTGTGTTAATTTTATCCTCTTCACCACTGATCGGCTTGTTAGTCGTTGGGCGATCGGTCACGTCTCTATTACACACTTCACTCAATTGACTGTAATACATAACTAATTATGTCTTAACACTTGTGATGAAGGTTGGGTGGGAGCTTATTGGGTCACGTTACTAACCTGACCTGATGCAACGTCAGGTCACCCAGTGTTGGATGAGGGATTAGTGGGTCTTATGACCTGAAGATGTTTTGAATGATATTATTTTTTACTTGTGAGGTATATACAGTAGAATGTCGATATAACACGAGATAGGTTCCAAGAGAGGTCACTTTAAACCGAATTCACGCTAAATTGAAGTGTTGTTTCAATGGAATAATTTAGTTTGGTACTTGAGAAAAACACAAAATACTAAAAAGACTGAAAGTCTACCCATCTCCTAGAATAAACAAAACATTGTTTTTTGTAGTATTATGTTCAAACAAACACTCATAAATCAACAGCTAAAATTAAGGGATGCAAAATGGTCTGTTTACTCGCTGGGAAGATGATGGGGAGGGAGGGAGGTGAGGTGATATGTTTGACAGTTGATGCCAAGGTCAAGTGCTTATTTATTTATCTGTCCTTAAGAGTGACTTTAAGTTTTTATCTTATAAAATGTCACTGAACTGGCATGGGAGAATATAATTAACATTGCTGGAATTCTTATAAGATAGTGATTAATTTGAATATAAACATGATATATAGCTTGCATTAGACATACAAATTTTAGTTCTAATTTTAGAATTTTATCACAAAGAGCAAAATTTTTATCTCTTGTACAAAATATATGACATTTATATTCAAATTATTCGCTATCTTGCAAGGATTCCAGCAATACAAATTATATTCTCCTAACTTTAGTCTGTGACATTATATAAGATAAAAAATTTAAGCCTAAAACACCAAACCCTGGCTGGGAAGAAGTGGGGAGGGAGGGAGGAAGGGGAGGTGACATGTTTGACAGTTGGCACCAAAGGTCTAGTGAAATATTTATTTGTTTATTTATGTCCTTTAGCTGGAGTTTTTATTTTTTTATTATAAAATGTCACAGAAGTGACCGAGGAGAATATAATTTACATTGCTTGAATTCTTATAAGATATTGATTAATTTGAATATAAACATGCTATAGTTTGCACTAGACAAAAATTTTAGTAATCATTTAGTACATTATTTTGAGTACATGTATAGTACAGCTTTGCCCTTAGGACAGTGTAGCGTGCCCAGAGAAACATTAGGCGCAAAATTTTAAATATGACGAGCCAGATTGACTCGCGCAAAATAGGAAAGATTAACTTTAAATTAAAACATTGTCCTTAATTGTGGGCGTCGCTTTAAATCATAATCTTTAATTGAATTGCTTTAAATCGACGTTCTACTGTACTGTACCTGATATAAATGAAGACTTACAGCTAACTTTCTTTTCACATTTGCATCTGTTAACATCGCTGGTGGCATTGTAGCCAGGTAAGACTCGTCACTAACTACCAAGCTACTGAACTAGCCTTGAGGTGTTATGGTTGTTTTTCAACTCATATTTTTGTGTAGATATATGTAACTTTCTCCATTTATTTTCACTCAGTTACATGCACATACATACTGCAAAAAAAAAGTAAAAGAAATAATAATTGTCCTAAGAGCAAATATACATTTTTTTGCACATGAGTTAGCTGGCTCAGTGGGGGAGCAGGAGGATGGTGCAGTTTGTG